CCTGTAGTATAATACTCCAAGTAGAAAGCACCGGAGCATTGCTCCAAAAACAATGATGGTGACTACAGTACCATTATTGCCTAGTTCTGTTTCTTTGGACGCAAGGTGCTTTTCTTTAAAGAAACGTATTTTTGAATTAAAAATGTCAATACATGTTTTTTTAAAATTACACGGTACAACGCAGATATTCATAACGCACGCACGCTCACCTCTATAAACACACGCATCAATACATGTCGTTGAACAGAGGTCACATTCTCGGTATCTCCACGACGGCGCCTTCCCTGCTCTGCTTAGCTAGCCTGATCTCGACACCGTTGATGAACAAGGCGTGTGCCTGCGTGGCCCATATGCGATTTTGCAACTACGAGAGTATCCAGCGTGGATAACTTGACACTTCCGCTGTGCCGGGCGGCAACTGCAACTCTGCAAGCACGTAACTAGAGCTAGGCCGGGGCGACGCGGCCACGGCTGCGTCGATCGCTGCCTCTACCACAGAACCGCATCGATGCGGAGGTCGGTAGGTAGTAAAGATCGGTAGGTGGTAGCGAGTGGCGGACATGGGCGGGTGGGGGTTTGAGCTGGCTTGGCACGCCGCGGATCCACGCATTCCACCAAACACACATCCCCCCCAACGGGCAACGGGTAGCTGCGCTGCTAGCGACCAGCCCGGCCGGGACGCGTGCACGGCGATGTTCACGCTTTGCGCGCGCGCTACACGCCCACACGACGCAGACGCAGCACAGCACCACCAAGCCCTTGCCTCTGCTGCGTGCCAAATTCAGCACGATTTTTTTATTTAAAATATTTAAAAATAAATTACTGTTTCGACGTTTTGCAAAAATATACTCCTCCCGCCCTACCATAGGACGTGCCATATAAATCGTCCTATAGTAGAGTTATAGAGCAATCTATATAACGTGGCGCCTCGCTAAAGGAGTGTGCAATGACAATTTTGTAGACAGCCCCTTCCCGGAGATAGTGTGATTTATCGCTGGGAGGGGGACCGTCTACAAAATTAACACGGTGCAAAGTTTGGTGATGCATGGGACGTACCATAGAAATTTTGCAGGTGACGACCTTCGAGTGATAAAGCGTCATTTCTTAGGTCAATTTATCCTCTTGGGCCGCCTGCAAAATTATTATGGCGCACCTTCCAACTTCCACAAGATGTCACATCATATATATTACCTTAATGTAGAGCGATTTATATGTCCAAGCCCTGCAAAAGGGCGCGAGAAGTATATTTCAAACTTTGATATGAGAATTTATTTTTTAAATCTTTTAAAAATAAATCTTTTGCCAATACTTTTGGTACGTCATCCGTGTTTGAATCGGTTTTTAAGTTCAATTTCTTTAGGAAATATAGATCCGTGTTAGAGTCGGTTTTTAATTTTGTTTGTTTTTAGAAATACAGAAGGAGTCGTATAAAAAATCTTTTTTAAAAAACTTGCATGCTAACTTGAGACGATCGGACCCCTAATTGTGGCTCATGATTTTGTAAAAAGAATATCCAAGTGAATTCTTACGGTGAATTCACCTTAGCTAAACCGTACAACAATAATAAGACTAAAATAGTATTCACCCGTTGCAACGCACGGGTATTTTTCTAGTAAACATTAAAAAAATCAGCCCAAGCAATGTGCCAGTGTGGCCGTTTGGGTGTCCATTTGCGAGTGTGAAGCACCGTACTACAGCACAGGCCGACCTGGGCAACCATCGGTTTTCCAAGGCCCAAAAGGAGTTCTTTATTAGGCCGGTAAAGTACTAATGGGTTGTACACAAGGCCGGTCCATTTAAACTAGGAATAAGTTCACCGGAGATCCCTCAACTTAACAGCGAGATTTTTTAGGTCCCTTAACCACAAAACCAGAAATGTCTACCCCTAAACTTACTCAAACCGTTCACCGGAGGTCCCTTGGCAGTATTTTTGCCCCGTTTTGCTGACGTGGTATCCTAGTAAGCAAAAAAATTTTAAAAAGTATGTGGGGCCCACATGTTAGTTGCACATCTTTTTCTCTTTTCTTCTCCTTCTCTTCTCTTTTCGCTTCTGTCCTCTCTCTTCTCCTTCAGGCTGGCGGCGGGCGCAGCCGCGATGGCCGAGCGCAAATGCGGGCGGCCGGCGAGCGCGGCAGCAGAGCGGTGGCAGGCTGTGGGCGGAGCGGACGGCGGGCGAGCCCGGCGACGGAGCGGAGGCTACGGGCGGAGCAGCCGCGCGCCGTGTCCGCCGTCGTCATCGGCTCTCCACTGTCGTCGTCGCCGTGGGCGAGGCTACACGGTGCGGCCGTTCGGCGGCATCGGCCAGGCGTCGCAGTGGCCGTGCATAGGTGGCTCGAAGTGCCGGCTGACGATGCACCCCAGTCGCTCGCGCTCCTCCTGTGCCGCGGCAGCGGCAGTGGTGGTGGCGGCAGCGTCGCCGGCCTGATCCCATGGTCCTCCCGGACGCCCAGCTCGTGCAGCTGTAGCAGGAGCGTGTCCACGCTCGGCGTGCCATCGGCATCGTGGACGGTGGTCGGCGCGGGCGCGGTGACCCTCGTCGTCTTCGCCGGCGTCGCGGTAGCACTTGACGTCGTAGCTCATACGCATATACGCCGGGTACAGACGGCCGCATGTACATGCGTCTTCGTACGAGCATATATATGCATGCATGGAGACGACCAGCTATAGCCTAGCTAGCTTCTTGTTGGTTTGCCGCCCGATAACATGCAGACGTATATATTAGCCAAGCATGTGTATATGGCTGAGCACACTCGCATGTATATATGCCATTACGTGAAGCGGAGGAGCGCGGATGCGGGGGGTGCAGCGGAAGGCGAGCGCGGCAGAGGAGCGGCGGCGGGCGAGCACGGCGGTGGGCAAAGCAGCGGAGGGCGAGCTAGGCGAAGCGGAAGACAGTGGATGGGACGAGGAGCTCCCCCGTGCTCGGCCGCCACCACCGCCGTGCCCCCGCGGGTGGCCGACGATGCTAGGAGAGGCACCACCGGCGGGAGAAGGGGAAGAGGCAGAGGAAGAGATTGTTTCTTGGTCACCGGCCGCCTCCCCTTCCCTCCTAAACTCGCTGGTCGCCGCTCCGCAGCCGCGCTCGCGCTCTGCTACTCTGTCCGCGGCCTGCTCGCGCTCTACTGCTCGGCCCGCCACCGCGCTTGCGCCTTCCGCTGCTATGTGCAGTTGACATGTGGGCCCCACGTGTTTTTTAAAATTTTTTTTGTTGACTAGGATGCCACGTCAGTAAAACCGGGCAAAAATACTGCCGAGGGACCTCCGGTGAACGGTTTGAGTGAGTTTAGGGGTACACATTTCTGGTTTTGTGATTAAGGGACCTCAAAAAATCTCGCTGTTAAGTTGTGGGACCTCCGGTGAACTTATTCCTTTAAACTAAACCAGGGACACTGTTATATTTTTGCGAAAAGAGTCCACTTTAGGTCTCCCTTCTTGTTTACTGAATTTCAAAAACATCCCTGAACCACAAAACCAGATACAACACATCTCCTAACTTACAAAACTAATGTACACGAGGTCACTCGACAGTATTGTCTCTAGTTGTGGTTGACGAGACGTCTGCGTGGAGTTGACGTGGCATTGAGTAAAATTAAAATTTGCAGAATTGAAATTAAATATATGGAGACCTATATGCCAGTCAATCAAAAAGATTAAAAGAATATGACCCATATGTCAGTAGGTCCTACTTTCTCCAGCTCACCCTCTCTACTCCTATCTCCTCTCTTCATTGGGATCAAGACTAAGGCAGCTGTTGAATGGAGGCGGAGAGGGAGGAGGCCAACGAGCAAGGTGGAAAAAGAGGAGGTGGGGAGGCCGACAAGGGAGGTAGGGAGGCCAGCGAGCCGGACGGAGAGGGAGGAGGCCGCCGGCCTCGCGCCTTCTTCCACCCAACTCTCTCTCTCTCTCTCTCTCTCCCCCCCTTCCTGTGCCCTAGAGAGCAAGGGCGCTCGGTGGCGAGGTTGATGCCTAACGCGATGAGGTTCGGTGCGGTGATGGTGGAGATCAAGCGACATCGCCTGGGAGCTCCTACGCTATCACAACCTCCTGACGATATGGGTACAACGTCCATGGGATGAGAACCAAGTTAAACTAGACATGTAGCTACCATGTCAGCCGAAACCATCGTCCAAACTGCTTTTGGAACCTTTTTCATTCCGGTTTTGAGGGACGAGGAATACGTTGTAGCCGGTTTTGCGGTTCAAGGATATTTTAAGAACTCAACAACAAGATGAGGGACATAAAGTGGACCTTTTCCCCCTATTTTTGCTCCTTTGGACTTTATCCTATTTTCGCTCCTTTGGAACAAGGGATTTTCATAGGAAGTTTGTAGAATTGAAACCCCATAGAAAATTTTCATATTGGGCCCTTTGATTTGAAGGATTGGGCTAGAAATTTCCCATAGAAATGCATCATTTCCTTCACTTTTTGGTGGACTTTAAAGAGCTCAAACCTTATGGTCTTGATTTCCTTTGGAAAGTCCAATACCCTATCTTTCTTCATCTCTCCTCTCAACTCTATTCTTAAATAATGTTTTTCATATGAAGTTTCTGTGTGGAGTATCCAAACGGTTTATTTGACAAATTCCTGTGTTTTCAATTTGTTAGAGTTGTATATGCTATGACATTCAATTCCTATATTTTTTTTATTCATGTATTTTTCGATTACTATATTCTAAATGGGTGAGAGTATGCATAGTACACGACATGGCACTATGGCAGGTCGGTGGCTGATGCAGACATGCAACTCCCGGAGTGCCGGTTGCTCCGCTCTAGAAGACGATGGCTTTCTTGTGTGATCAGTGATCACCTTTCACCCATTGATTCTGTGGGGGAGAGGTTTTTTTTTTTAAAAAAAAAACCTTTCTGGAACGTATAGCGTGCGTACGGAGTATAGAATTAAACGAAGTAGCTCAGTGACAGTATACATGAGTAAATGTAAGTCTGGATTTTGATTCGGTTTGCACTAAGACATCATTCATCTGTAAAAGGAAAAAAATAGGGGAAGATTCAACAGAAAGATTATGGCAAAACAACGAGTAGTTCAACACAATTCACCACTGACAATCATGGGGAAAAAAAAAGGAACAATCCTCCTACTAAAGTAGTACAAACAAAGGAGAAATTGGAAGTTTCAACAGTGTGAAACAAACCAAAACAACACGACGCACCCTGTTACTTGCCTACTTGGGCGGGGTGGGCGGTGCGAACTGCTGCGGCGGCGCGGGCGGTGCAAACTGCTGCGGCGATGCGGCCTCCGCGCGGCCACGGTTCCGGCCGAGCAGGTAGCACCCCAGCGCGATGACGAGAACCAGGAGGATCGCCGGGATCGATATCACGAGCTCAAACATGGATGCTGAACAATGAATAGCCCCCCGCGCCTCCTCTTCACCTCGATCCAACCCTGCGCTTCCGCGACCGCGCGGTGCTAGACGAAACCGGAAGGCGCCGACGAACCTGGAGAAGACGGGCGCGCGAGGCCCTCTATGGCGAGCGGTGCAACTTCCCAGCGGCAGCGATGCGGTTCCCCGTCGCGAATGGCAAGGGACGTCGCGGCAGCTGGCAACTTGGCACCGTCGTCACAGTGGCTAAGGTTGACGCTCCGGAACGAACTGTATCAGGTTAGATAATCTAGAGAAAATCCAACACGCCGGAAGCCTCTAGGAGGGGGGCTATAGATCCAGCAACGAAAAGGACGCGTAAGCAACCACGATTTGGACGTCTTTATTTAACCAAAACTGTTTCAGGTTTCTGTCGTCCTGATTGAGCAGCGCACGAAGGAAAATTGACAAATTTTTAGGTCCTTGAGAGAGGTACCTTCTGGCAAGTGGCAACTGATATTGAGTTGTTCCAACTTTTACACTAGTAGATATGGTACTTCCCAGTACCTCCTCAAAAACCATGAAATCACCCAAGGAAATTTGTAGTTTTGTACACTTCAGATCGCCTACAGCAGAGCAGAGCAATGGCTTGCAGCTTTGCTTTATATAGTCAATATGAATACCGGTACAACAATTCAGTGTATCAAATAATGACTACGGACTACCTGTATCAGTGTATCTCATTGTGTCAAATGATCGAATCCAATCTAAAATTTAGGGTAGAGAATTGCAAATACTTGGCATACTAATGCGGTTTTCTCGGAAAACAATGTGACAGCAATCACGGACAATACTATGGGTCCAAATTACAACAAACATCTATTTTTCACATACACAAGTACACAACCACCAAAGGCAGCATCTAGAGAAGGAATAGAAAAAGGCTTCTCAGTAATAAACATACCTCATCAGTTCCTCTCTGGTTGCTCAGTTTACAACTAAATAAACAGGTGAAATTACATGTTAAAACTGGTCAAAATATCTCACTTGCTTACTGCAATTTCCTGCCTTGCACAAGATAGTTCCCACCTTGCAAAATGGTCTTCAGGTTACTGCAAGGCATAGATAAACAACGAAATTGTCTTACACTCGGATGAACCAGAGAAGAGATATCTCATACCTCGACAGTTTCCAAAGAAACTTGTAGAAGTGGAAGCTTCAATTTGAAGAAAAAAAAAAGGTGATTGAAGGATTCCCATGATGGGTATATCATACTAAACCAGCATGTCAAATGGAGATACCGTACTTGGATTGGCATACTATTAAGGTATTTCCTACTGTCATTATTTATGATATTGCATTTTGCTTGGATTCAAATTAAATACAGATTGAAAGTATCATACTACTGAACATTGGCTTTACAGGAATGTTCAGGGAAAAAGGGCCGGGAAACTTTCAGCACATTCTTACCAGCCAACAAGAAAGGTAAATGAATCACGGGGAAGAAGATTGTACCTCTGAAAGAACCCAAGGACATACCGGAGAATGTACCATAGAAGGCAAAGCATCAATATATCTGTTATAGTCAAGTGATTACATACTAATAACTCAAAGCTCTTTTCAGTTTGCTGAGATTAGAGACAAACCATGTGGTTTGCCAAATAGTATAAGTACAGATATTTCATTCTTTTGTTTCGAATAAGAGATATTTCAAACATTCTTTCCAAGAAATACGAATAAAGAACATCCCAAAGCTCAACTCCCACAGAATAGTTGATAGTGCAATAAAGTAAAAAGATCACTCCAGATTACGAAAGAAGTTTTGCAAGAAAAACAGATTAAAGAAGCAGAAAAATCTTGGTTGTAGGACAATTAAAATAGCATACAGTTTACAGAACAAAAGGTTGCTAGAAAAGAAAATACATTGTTTTGTAGTGTCAAAGGAGAGTTTCCCTAGCTTAGTTCTATGTGCTTTCAAGAATCTGTTGGTGTTTCACGTTCATTTCGCATTCCATGTCTTGCTTTCTTTCATGCAAATATGCATGTCATCCACACATTTCAGATTTTTTTTAAAAAAAAAACAACAACAACTAGCCAAGAGCCCGTGCATTGCAACGAAAAAAAAATAGTTCCTAGCTTATTAAGTCAATTAAGCAAATATTTAGTCCAAGTAGTATTTTTATGATTTTCATTGAACAAATAGGTGATTTCAAAATTTGGGAAGAGCCAGCAATGAAACAGGAGACTCATTGGAGGGTGGATTGTGAGGCCCAAATGTCGGTGATAGGTTGTGGCAGAACGACCACCACCACTATGAACATTTTAGCTAGTATAGATACTTGTGTGGGGAAAGCTCACTTATGTAATGCAGTTAGTTTATTTTTAGATAATAGATCAATACCCGGTCTCTACATCCAACAAGGATGTCCATGCTATGTTGTTAGCGGCAGTAGATATTGGCCCTTGGTTAAGAAAAAAAATCAGGAGAAACGAGACTTAACTTACAGAACAGTTGACCAAAAATCCATCAAGTACTTAGCTTTAAAACCGAATACTAATACTAGTTTTTGCCATACCTAATACTCCTAAGAGATTCTACAATCCCGAATTTGAAAACCAAACTAATTCCTCAAAGGGGATCCTAAGATTCCGAACGGCTTCAAAAGATAAGATCATACGTTCCCGATAACAAGACTATTCTTTTTTCTTTCACAGACACCACGCGGTGAAACGGACAGATATCAGAATCCAATAATTTCACCCGCGCGGGCTTCTCAGATTCAGAGTCAAAAGTAGGAGATAAAACTAGACCGAACAAGCAGCAGATTTGAAGGAACAAGGAAATCAGTACAGGGGACAAGAGGAAGCAGGCAGTGGAAGGATACTGAAGAGGTAGCGCTCCCACCAATCGAGCATGTAGAGACCGACGGTGACATTGTAGATGTGGATCTTGCGCCCAATCCAGTTCATCCTCCACGAGGAACCCGACACCTGCAGATCACCTCGCTCAGATCCGGAGGGAGGGAGCGGCGCCGCGGTGGGGTGTCAGATTTTCAGAGGGGGAACAGTGGCAACTGGAAGGAGTAGTAGATGCGAACGAAGAGAAGGGCTTATTTGTACAATTCGGATCTAAATAAGGGGCATATTTTAAAATTGTTGGTAGTGGCCCAGAAAAATAAGTTCACTTTAGATCCTTCATCTTCACATCGAGTTTGAATTGTATCCTTAAACCATAATAATACTAGATAAAACGCATCCTTTAACTTATAATACCCAAGTACCTGAGGTCGCAAGGTAGTATTGTGCCTAGTTTCGACTGACGTGGTAGCTGACTCCACGTGGGACCCACATGTCAGTGGCATAATCTACTTCCTCATCTTTTTCTTGTCTCTCTCCAAGCGGCCTCTAAGGCATGCGGTCGATGGGGAGAAGGGCGGCGAGCAGTGACCGACGAGAAAAAGAGCGGTGGCCAATAGAGAGGAGCTAGGCAGAGAGGGGAAAGCTCAAGTTAGGACACTTGTCCTATCCTCCTAAGTTACCATTGCCGCTGTTGTGAGGAGCTGGTGGAGATGGGGAAGCATAGGCTTGACGAGGAGAGTGGGAGGTCCAGGAAGCATGGTGTCGCCTCACCGCCGCGGCCTCCAAATCCGCACGATGCTCTGCCATTGCTAGCAGCATTGACGATTGAGCTCAAGTGTGGCCACCCTCCTCATCGTCTATGGAGGAGCGCAAGGACTTGGCAGCGTCCAGGGACCTCCCCATCCTCCGACGTCGATAGGATCCACTGGACGGGAAGGAGCATCATCGACATCCGCTACCGCCACTCCCGCCTGGATCTCAGGTTCTTAGTAAAGGTGGCACGACAAATCTGGCAAATCCATTGTGGCCATAACACATGGAATAGTGTCACCCTTTCATCTATCGCCTGCAACGATGCTGCCCTTCCAGTCTGATGGCTGGTCTGCACAGCTGCCCGCTACCATCGCCTCGCCTCCTTTCTCCCCGCATCGACCGCAACAAAGGCGCCCCCTGCCACCCAACTCTTCTCCCGTCGATCACCGCTCTTCTCCCCGCCGGATGCCACCCGGCTCCTCTCCCATCTACCGCAGCCCATCTCCATTTCCCCATCGGACTGAAGACCTAGAGAGAGATAGGGAAGAGAGGGTAGAGAGGAGGAAGAAGGACTAGGTTACTGACTCAGCCAGGTTTACTGCAATCAACTCATCATCAGCTAAAACCAGGCATAGTACTGCCAGGAGATTTCGGATGTTTCGGTTTTAGAAATTGAGGTACGCGTTACATTTGATACTGTGGTTTATAAGAATGTATAATAACTCAACCTCAACGTGAAAGTGAGGTACCTAGAATGAACTTATTCTGGCCCAAATAAGAACCGGTGCAAAAACGCCATCATATGGGCCGGGCAATAGCAGGTGAATCGATCGATATAAGCTTTCATCTGGGCTGTTATGGGCGGGACCGAAGCGAACTCTTCCTCTAGCTTCGAACTCTTGCACGGAGTAATTGATATCCTGATTCTCTGCATCTTTTTCAGAACATATGACGAATTCAAAGCTCGGGCATGACCTCATGAATTTCATTTCACGGGTTGTAACTTGTAAGAGCAAGTATAATAGTGAGCTATAAGATTACTATAAACTTATGTGGAGAAGAGATGTAACAAAAAGTTAAAGGTGTTGGCTCTCATGCAAGAGCTAGCTTAACACAAGCTCCAAGACATATACAATTAGAGCAAGTATAATAGTGGGCTATAAGAAGTCTGAATGCTGAGGTGGATGGGAGAAAAGAGGAGAGAGATGAGAAGCGGGCTGTAAGTTTACAGCCGGCTTAGGCACAATAACCAAGAAAATTTGTGAGATAGACATGTGCACCATATATTTATAGTGAAGAGCTAACCATTATATGAGTGAGCTGATAGATAGGCTATAAGTAAGCAGCTGGCTGTATTATTATCCTTGCTCTTAATGTATAAGTGAGAGATAGAAAGATGAGAAGAAAATTGTAGTCAACCTTATAACTAATCTATTAGAGCAGGTACAATAGCAAGCTATAAACCAGCTATAACCACATATCGAGAAAAAAAGAGAAGAAAGAGAAGAAAGCGGGCTACATATTTGTAGTTAGCTGCAACATGGACTCCAAGACGTTATGTGTGATGAAAGGTGGGACCGGGTATTAATGGTATAATATATTTTTATAGTTAACTATTGTATAAATGGGTTATTAGATTAGCTACAGTTGTTTTGGAGCCAATAATTGGCTATACTATTAAACTTGATCTTATATATGTTGGCTTTAAGATTGGCTAATAGTAGGAAGTGGGCTCTATTATTATCCTTGCTCTAAGCATTAGTTTCACGTAGGTAGGTGCGTCCAGTTAACTTGACAGCGTACCTGTAAACTCCACGCACCGGCACCGCCGGGGATGTTCAGGCGCTGTCCAACTTTTAGGATGTTTATCTGGCATCCATACATTTTCACTTATTTCAGGTGGAGTCTCTGTAAGTCTGTATCGTATCATAACTCTGATGATGGTTAGGTCACACATTTTCACTAGTTCAAACAGAGTCTCTGTAATTTTAAGTCTGTATGACATCATAACTGATGATGGTTAATTAGGTCATTCATTTTCACTATTTCAAGTGGTCTCTGTAAATCTGTATCATATCATAACTGATGATGGTTCAGTGCGACCGGGCCATTCTACGTTCGCGTTGAACAGTTCGTGTGGTAAACATCTCATCAGTAATCACAGGAATCAGGACACAACATTTAAACCAAGCTCTTCCTGTGCAGTTTAAATCCGGGTCATCACTAGACTACTCGAGGTCGTCGCAGCATTGCAGCAACCATGGCTTCGCCTCTATCTGCTCTAGCACCTCTGATCCCGCCCGCTCCGCAGGTGCCAGTGCCAGTGCCACTGCTTCCTCCTCCTCTTCCCGTGCCGGTGCCGTCGCCGCTGAACTCCGGCTTGCAGAAACTGTAGTAAATCTCTCACGCATACCCCTGTCGATCGTTGAAACGGGGGGTTTTTTTTTAACAACATTCGGTAGCTCGTCTTGTTTGAAGAAAGGCTACAGTTTTACTCGCTTATATATGCATCTGTTTGGTTGTTTGTTGGTTGCAGGTCGAGGTTCTTGTGCTGCGGTTGGCTTGTTCTCATGCTGCTGCTGCTGCTGCCCACCAAAGCGTGAGCTAGGATACCTCTTCTGTAGCAGCGGTTGCAGCCTTGCAGGACTGAAGAAGGTGACGGGGCTGAGGAATCAGTCATATATCCGCTGCTGATCGATGCATTGACGCTGTCGCACCTGCAGGCTATACTCTGTTGCGGATATATGATTTCTGTGTTTCTAAACCGTTAAGTCGTTAACTGTGTGCACTGTGGTGCTCCTTATAATTCTGTTCGTTTGAGTACCTGTGAATTGTGATGCATATCTGTGAATAAAAGGAGACGTGCTTGCTAGCGTAGTGTGAGGAGTGTTCATTGACTCATTGTTCAACACTTCAACTCCTAACACAAGTTCCTCTTTATTGCTTATTTTTCACCCGTAAATAAATAAAACGCCATTATCTTGGTCTTATTAGAATATCTTTAGCATGCTACTAGCTGTTGATTTTTTTTTGAGTAAATTGCCATTTGGTCCACCTTTTATTACCCAAATTTCAATTTGGACCACCCTTAAACCTATCTTTTTAATTTGGACAGGGTAAATTTACCATTGTTGCGGTTTGGACTACCATGACAACTTTTCTCGTCATGTTTAACTTTCCTTTCGGCAAACATATGAACCATATATAGAGGAGATTGGCCGTATACTAGAGCTGATGTGTTTAAGGTCGTTGATTGCATGAGAAAAAAAATCATTCGTGGTAGTCCAAATCGCAACAATGGCAAATTTATCCGGTCCAAAGTAAAAACATATGTTTAAGGGTGGTCCAAAGTGAAACATAGGTAATAAAATGTGGCCCAAAGTGTAATTCACTCTTTTTTTTTCAATGAAAAACGCGACTTGCTAAGTTAGATCGTTACCTCAAGTCCACATCCCTTGCACATTTTCACATCTTGTTACACTGGTGATCAAATATCGAACTCTGTTGACGAGTCTTGACTCTTTGGGCCGATCTATGAGTTGGACAGGATCCTGTTAAAAATATAGTTCGCCTTCGTCACGGGGAATAAGTCCACTTTTAACCCCCCCCAGCCCCACCCACACCCCCTACGCAATATGATTTGTACCCTCAATCACAACATATGATATTTTACACCCCAACTATTAAAACCAATAAAATTTTATTCTCAAGATAGTATTCACAGCTAATATCATTTGTTTGGTCCACCCAGCTAAATCAGTATGTGAGGCCAAACATCGCCTCTTATTTGTTTTGTATGTCTCAAATACCAATTCAAATAGTAATTTAAAAAAATCTAAAAACTTGACAACATTGATACATTACTCATCTATCATCCTGATCCACAGACCGAGGAAAAAAATACAGCTCGGTTAGTAATAATACTAGAACTAAAAAAGGCACCCTTCTCTAGTAGTGGACTATGGGCAATCATAACCCATAGTGTCTATAAGCAGTGTCTATGGTGCCATGTCAATAAGACATCACAATAAAAACTACACTCTACAACCTATGGTTTCTTAAAATGGACTATTAATAAATACATCATCTCTCTTCTCTACCAATCATATTTATTCTTCATTTATTATGAAGACATTATTCTCTCCCAATGTAAAACTTGATAGTGTCTAGTGCATAGGTTCTCGTGTTGAAGCTGTGTCTTGCATGAGACCCAGTTTCTTCCTCTCTTCACTCTCTCTCTTAATTAATATAGTGCCAAATAAGCTAAAAGTCCTATATGGCAATGTAGTTAAATGCTATAGACACTATCCTAGGTGGAGGATTGAGACTGCCCTAAGCGAGTAGTTCATGAGCTGGTTTGTTTAACTTAACAAGTTAATTAAAATACTAACTCGGCTTATTAATTATGACTACAGATTTAAGCTGATCCATACCGAACTCGAATACTCGATACGAGCTTCGAGCTTTTCTATTCCACTTACTTCCAGTACTAGTCAAATAATCTGCTTTAGTTATCACACTATCCAATCGATAGAAAAAACTAGAGAAAATTCAAGAAATACTATTGACAAGCGTTCAATTCCAAAAAATATCATTTATAAATATGTGTTACATGAAATGTCATCGTACAAACGATTATGTTCCAAAAATCATCGCCGTTAGGGTTCCGTTAACAACTCTGTTAAATGCTATATGATGAACAATATATTTAACGACGCGGGATGGACGGAAACCTTAACAGTAATGGCATTTCTGGGACAATTTGTATGATGACATTTCTGGTATTTCTTGGAATTTAGCGCTTGTCAATGACATTTCTTGAATTTTTCTCCAATACTAAACTTAATTGAAAGACTTTGTTCAGGAGCAGTGCTAAGTAAAAGATTAAGCACTTGTCTGGCTTATTATCATTTCAAACCTTACCAATATTTTGGTAACACTAAGATTTGGTATTGTCAAAATTTTGATAAGAGGCGTACGTGATTGTTTGGTTTGGATCAATTTTTTTTTAAGAGCAAGGCTCTTGTTCGTTTTTCTTGGCAAAACTTCAGCCGTGCCAATTTTTTGGGTAGCAATTTAAATTCCATCTAACTTTGTTGACAATGTCATTTTTTAATTTTGGCACGGTAAGTTTGGACACCAAACAATTGCTTCTAGTACGATGCAATTGTCGGGGTCCAACTCAGTAGAAGTAGGACTGCGCTAACTAATTAAAGTTCTGAACCGATCAGCCTCATAATTGGTTGATTCACACAATTTATTATTGGTCCCCTTAAGTATATATTCGCTGTAATTCTGCCTCCCCCACTGGCTATGCTCTGGGCTGACATGGATCAGCTTGCCACTAGAATTTTGCAGTTTTGTCCTTACTAACTATTAATGAATGCGTTCCCGGTTTTTAAAACGGGGCCACTGCTACCACACGGGAGGGACGAAGCACGTGCATGCTTAATTTGGAACCAGTGGCACTGTGGTCTGTGGATCGTTATCTGTACTACCTCCATCTCAAAATACAACATCTCAAAATACAACAGTATATTCCCCGTAAAAAAAATACAACAATATATAGAATAACATGTTAGAAAATTGATAGAAAACTTTAAAACATTTAAATAATTTGTGGTTCATATTTAATTTAATTGGGAGTACCCGATCCTCGATCTCATCGTGCCCTACCTAGGGGAGAGAAGCATCCTGACTGCCGTTTGATGATGATGCACAAGATGGCAGTATGATTTGATGATAGAATAACAAAAAGAAAAGACAAAGTTACCCTTTTAATCCATACCGTTTGATCACGTATACTTGTAGTAATATATTGTACCATAAAAACTCTCAAATACAAATATATAACTTAGCTACTAAACTGGATATATATTTATCCAAATTTTCATATAGCTAAAAGTTGCGTATCATATTCTACGACGAGGCGAGTACGTACTATGTACCTACATTAAAGATCGATCAGTACAGTAGAGCAGTAGTAGTACTCCAAAGAAGTGTACAGCTTAACATGCAAACGGCGAGAATTGCACGTACATGTGCCTACCTGCCTGCCTGCGTGCCTGCCAAGCCACGTGAAGGCCACAGCCAGACGACGCTCGCTCGATCGATCGATCATTCATGGTCTTGCCAACAAAAGCGTTCTCCAGTACTCCTATAGTGCCCGACCATTAGCTTGGCTAGCTAGGCGCAGCCGTTTGCTGTTGCAGTAATTCGGCGAGCTGATCGAGCGCGTGTACACGCACAGTCACACGCGCGTAAGTGCGCTACTGCTAGATGCACGTGATATGCCCTTGATTCAACATACGAATGACGAAAAAAAAACATGTAGCGTAAATTTTATATGTAGGGTAAATCTGGAAGCTACAGTAAAATATACAGATAAACACTTGTTATAAAAACTAGGAAGGTTAGTTCCAACAAAATAAGTTGAAATTAAAGTAAGGAATTTTTCTTTTTAATTCAATTCTCATTGTTTATTTTTTCCATAAAAAGTCTCGAGAAACTTTTATTGCTAGTAATTTTTTTACCAACGTGCTTAGCTTTCTTTTTAATTGATCAAATATACGTATCTTATTTAAGGCTTCTCTGTAATATGTGAGACTCTATGGTATTTTAAAGAAAAGACCTAGTCAATATAAATCTTAAAGTAATAATTTATTAGAAAAAAGTATAGATTATAAGAAAAGCTACTGATTTTTGCCGCCTTAGAGGCTTATACATGAAGGTTGTGGAGAAACCCATGGAGCTACTTTGAAGAATATGAATTTACTGAATTTTGTTGATTTATTATTGACCTTCATCTCTTGGATTGCTTAATATGACTTGTATGAAGACAAATATAAAACAAATTGAAAGAATAAAATATTATTACGTTGTAAAATGAGCTATGTTTTACTATAACGAAAGGAGTAGATTGATTCAATACTATCTTACGTGTTAAGTGCTCCACTAAAATAGTTTTATGTGTAAAAGCTTCAATGCTACATTGCTGGTTAAGCACCCCATAAAATAGTTATGTGTAAAAGGATTGCAAAAGTTATTTTCAAAGATGAACCTTGAGTTTGAGGCAAGAGGCTTGGCACATAGGAGGCTGCACATTTGAGTCACATGTGAAAAGAATGCTCGCAAGAACCATTTGTGTAGTAGTGGGATGAAAATAATTATTTATACAATTAAAAGGTTGGAAAAGTGAAAATAATGGTACTTGTGCCCATATTATTGTTTGCCAACAACCGATAGAACTTGATAGAACTTGATAGTTCTTTTTGTTATGTGGTATAATTGGCTAGATATTTTAGAACTTACTATTGTATCGTGTAGCTGATGTACCTACTAATATTTCTCTATATGCTGCATTTTCTCATTGTTGATTAATGCATTCCTTGGTGCATGTGACACAATAAATATTTCAAAAAAAAAAGTCTAGTCGAGTCTAAATTGATTTTGGATTGTGGGAAATAACTCATTGTTTCATGTAGAGTGCGTGGGACTTCAAATAGACTACGAATATAATTTCATAGATAAAAATAACTCTGCAAGCATAATTATTATTGTAATGTGGACTTTTCATGATTGCCGTCATGATTTAAAAATTTTTACTCTAAAATTTATAATTCAAGGAATTTATATACTCGAAACAATCACTCTTTGTAACTTTCTTTTAGCTAACATGCATTAGGCATTTAGTATTACACTTATGTGTAAAGTATTACTTTAAATTCATAGCCGTATAATAAAAGGGATAAAAATTTTGACAGTATAAGGAGTATAAATGTATAAAATTTGACGATCTAAAAGTACAAACAATAATTTTTGTACAATTTTTAGTGAGATATGTGTGTGTATGTGTGTTAGTTGGTTTACACCATGTGTTCACGTAGTCTGTGCATAATCTTCAATGCGAAGCCTGCAATACCTACCCTATTTTATCTTCTTTCTTTGAAACAATTAGGCATTTAAACAATCATGGTAGTTTATTATGTCCATTGCTATAAGATGGCATAAGTACACTGAAAGTAAAAGTTTTACTCATGATGATAGTTTTTAGGTTTGCAATATATGTGGTTTATACTACATATTTTACCTTATAATTAATTAAACCTCTGTTTATATGCATCGCGCCGCCCTCGGTCCCGGCGGTGCACATGTAAAATCGTTTGCTTGAACTAACCAGAAAACAAATTCACTCCAAGTTGTTTGTTGCTTATGTATGGCATTATATATATCTATGGCCTGTGTTTATGAGTATGCTTAAGTATATATATCAATCGTTAGTTTGTTCTAGCCAACGAACAATTTAGCACAATACAGTATGAATCGGGACATATCCATCTTCATAAAGTTGAAGTTGTGTTGTATACAATATAAAGTGTAGCTCATCAAACAAACCTGACACCGTGACAGCGATCTCCTGCAACGTTGGAGATGTCGTAGAATTTGTTTACACCGTGCATCGCATGCACTTGGTAGGTGACGTGGGTTTGACCGCTTGAGGCTCTGATTAGTTAGATCTTTCTAATCTAACGGTGAAGGCCCTGGTTGTTCTCTTTCGATAATATAAATCCGGTTTCATCAATTTAAGTGAAAATCAAGGATGATATATTTTTGCTTTTTATCATAATTTATATGATTTTCTAAAACTATTAAAGTATCATGTGATGTCTTAGAAGCGTATGTAGAATGTCATGTGATGGTTCAGAAGCATTTGTAGAAAGTTTGAAGGACTTTTATATAAAGTCATGTGTTTGTGCAAGTATATTACCCCCTATTAAATTTACAATAATAATGAACAATGTACATATGTGTTCGTAGAACACATTTGCACAGTAGATATAAAGTTAGCACAATTAATTTTTTCTGCAATTAACAAAATAATTTATCAGGCATTGGTGTGATCTTGGTACATCTGATCAGTCTGTCATGACCAATGCTACCATCTCGGCCGACCAATGCTACCATCTCGATCGATCAGCAGAAAGAGAGGCTGTGAATTTGCCGGGGTTCTGTCGATAGATCAGTCGAGGACTTCTCCGGCTGCCATCAATTAATATGCCTGGACGCGCCGGATTAATGGAACGTCGATCGACCCAACGTTCGGCATCACATAGGAGAGGATTTTTTTTTTGGCATAATTGTAACACGCATGGGAATTCAATTTGTTGGAATTAATGGATGAGCCTTAGCCCACTCAAAGATTAATTCTTTGGAAAATCACAGAAGCCCACCTCATGGGATGGCATGCATGTGGAGTTTAGTACCACCTTGCTTATTCTAGGAGAGGGGGACCTCCTTAAAAGAGAGGATGCCCTCCTAGCCACTTGAAGCATGTGTGGTGGAAAGAAGAGGGGGAACACGCTTGCTCGCCTGCCAAGGCAGGCGGCGCGCGTGCATGACGTACGCGTCGAATGATCCGCAAAATTGACTCCTCACCCTTGCGCAGATGCAGCCTCCTTTTGTAGTTTTGTTTTGCTGCAGGAAATTCGGATTTGTTTTGTTCTGGAAACATTCCGAAAAATCCGGTGCGTGAAAACGGCGTGGAGTCCGGATAAGTTTACGCGCGACTTACCCGGTCCGGTTACACGGAGTGGAGACTTTTGCAGTTTTGTTTTGCTGCAGGAAATTCAGATTTGTTTTGTTCTGGAAACATTCCGAAAAATCCGGTGCGTGAAAACGGCGTGGAGTCCGGATAAGTTTACGCGCGACTTACCCGGTCCGGTTACGCGGAGTGGAGATCATGCGGACGCCCTGATCAAGCGACCTATCTCTATAAAAACCAAGCCGCCGCCTTCACGCAACACAAGCGAAATCAATTTAGGGTTTGCCTCCTACTCTGTATTACGCCGTCGCTCGTAGACTACTCCATCCTGCTTGCCGGCGTGCACCGGCGATCGGGAGAGCAGGTCTCCGGAACCTCTACCTTCGACGTCCTGCACCGGGAGAAGGTGGCAATAAGGTTTTTGGGAAGCGCTTCGCGCGACTGCTCCCTGTTCATCCACAACAGCTCGCCTTTCTCTCCGCTCGCGTGCTGCGCGCCTTCGTCGACGCCCGCAACCGCGAGTAGTTCCTGCCGAGCAACCAGTCTTTCCGCTACCTCGGTACGTGTTCGTCATGTTGCGCATATTTGATCTGTTCATATTTTACTGCTTAGTTTACATGTGTAGATCTAATGATGTGTTTATGCTAGTTTACATCTGCAATGTCATAATTTATTTATGAAATAAATTAAATTATTATGTGCTTATAATTTCAACAGGTTCACGAACCAGCTTGGGTATTCTGACAAATCCACTCATATTTCATTGCTTACTTCAACTACCCGGTACCCTTTTCTTTACAGTGTGCCTCTCAAAATTAAGAAGCATTCTTCTTTGATAAAGGTTATGAGTATGGCAGTGTTGAATATATCTTCTCAATGGTCAATTATATTACATGACCTAAGTTAGTCGGTTGAGTGGGATGATTTGTTTTACCAACTAGCTAAGATGACCCTCTCAGATAAAAATGACTGCTTTAATTATTTGGTTGCTAGAAAAAGCTAATTTTTGGTCAAATCCATTTACAGGGCAATAATGAATTTCAATGTAAAAATCCGCAAGAGAATTTTAGGAGTTAAAAGTATCATTAAAAATAGAAGTCTTTACATGAATCTTTTATATATAAAAAAAAGTAATCCTAAATAAACATGGTAAAGAGAAAAGAGGGAAGGGGGCAAGCAAATGTGTTTTTTAATGCACAAGAGATCATTTAACACATTTTCTTAGACTGTCATGTTGTTGCGTGTTTTGCTTCGCGGTGTATCTTTTTTCCTTTTAGTGCAAAAGAAATTTTGGGTGGTGGTATATTTTTTCTTTTTTTCTGATTATGGTCTTACAGGGTTGTAATTTTGCTTCTTTTTTTTTTTTTTATCAATAGAACTTCGCATCGTATCAGGCGAGTCATTCCAAAAAAAAAAAAAAAACAAATGCTCCCAGGCTCCCTGCTTTGCCTGGTCGATCGGCCGGGAGACTGCCTGTGTTTTCCTCGTCCTTCCTCCTCTAGCTGTAAGCCTGTAACCTCGCTGTAAAGAGGAGCCTGTGTTCTTCATCAGAGTCTGGACCGTGAAGCCATTATCCACTCTGAACAGTTAGCCCTTCAATTCTACTCCCAATATTTACTGATGGGATGGTCCAGAAAATAAACTCCCGCACTGCGCGCAATAACTTTTCAATGGAGTTGCAAAAGTCTGCTGCAACTTAATTTTGCAACAGTAGTTGCAATTTACAGCTAGCTCGTTGCGATGACAGTGCTTAGACTTGAAGCATAAATGTCCAAAAGAATTTCAATCGAGATGATGGATCATTGGACCCCCTATATATTACACTGGACCTGTAGATACATAATGAGCATATAGGGAAGTAAGTAAAGTGGCCGCCCCCCCTATATGCGTTTTCGCTCTGCCTAAATGCATCAGACTACATTCAGCTAGTCAGGATTCCCTGAACGGGTTGCATGTGCATGTTTCTTCTCTTCTTCCTTTGCTCGGAAGTCTGTCTATGTCATCTTGATGAACCCTAGCTAGTGTATAACAAGCAAGCAGGGTTGTGTCGCCGACATGCATAAAGCTTTTTTGGACATGCGGGCCTGCAGGCCGCAGTAAGAACGAGCCGGCATGGTCTCATATAAAATCTGAACTAACCTTTTGAGATAAGAAATCTGAAGTAGCTAGCACGAACGGTCTTCACTTCTGCTAAACAAACACCGGAAGAGATCAACTAACAGAGACGGCATTATTAGTTTAAGTGATTCCAAGTGTTCTCCGGATCAATCATATTAATTTAGCCCTTCTTGATGCATGTCCTGCGTAATTAGCACATCACATTCAGCTTTCTGCTTTCTATACACCCAGTTAGGTCGAATCACACAACATGCAGCTACCAGGATATATATTATACCAACACAAAATAATCAGATGATCAGATGGGGCCTACAAGATACCTATATATAACAGCAAAGCGGTAGTGCACTCAAGTGTGAGCAAAGCCATGCTGTAGTGGGATCTCTCTCCATCCATTCCTGCAGTGCCGCCACTGCTATAGCTGCGAGAGCTATAGCTAGAAAAATATCAACGTAGGAAGTGGGAGGAGAAGTAGATGATGGATACAGATCACACTGAGATAATTAAGGAGGGAGAGGCAGTAGTGGAAGCCATGGCTCTACTCCAGTCTCGGTTCAGGAGGATATGCGTCTTCTGCGGGAGCAGCCAGGGCAAGAAGAAGAGCTACCAGGACGCAGCCGTTGAGCTTGGCAAGGAGCTGGTACGTTCTACTATATTTCTCAATTCTCATATATGTAATCGTCTTGACAAAGCAGCTGCTTCATTTTTCAACCTTGATCATGACATCCTTTCTGAGATCTTGCTTCTTTAATTTTCTCTCGTTAATCAAAAACACCATGGCCATGGAGCTTTTTACTGATATTCAGCACAACGCGCCTGGTGATATGTAGGTATATAGAGAGTACCTGACAAGGTTTTGGGTTTCTTTTCAACGTCGTAATCTTGGAGTAATATAATTATCAAGCTGTGTAGACGTACACTTGCTGAACAAGGGCTAAAATTTATCTCTCTATATATTTAAGTGACAATATATGCGACATTACTGCTAGCTGTAGACGTACTCTTGCAGTGCATGCAGCTTGTTCTTAGTAGAAGATGAGAGCATATGCATGAGCTGAGCACAGCATGTGTAGGTCTGAATTGAATTTCTGTATCATGCAGTAAAACCCACTTGTATTACAAAGGAGAATGTCATGAGGGCTTGCACATGAGCTTATTAATTACTTCACATGAAAGACAATATGTCTGTCGGTGAACATGGAATTTTATATTTATGCAGCTTGCATAGTTCCATAGAAAATGACTTACTCCCCAGGAACCTAGTACTGGATTAGGTTATGATCTTGTATAAGGCTGCTATATTTTGAAACGGAGGGAGTACTAGCCAGCAAGTTACTACGCGCATTTGCATTTGTATGGTGACTTTTCGCCGGGATTTTCGGTGCTCAGCGCATTTTTCTCTATCCATTTCGAGGCACGGTATAAATGCAAAAATGAAATAGACAAGTCGCATGGATCAGTCTTAAAGGAAACTATATATAGTGTGTACTGTATGTAGTAGCTAGACTACATATTCTAGATCACTTGATGATATATATTATAGAAGACTAGATTCTAGAATGTGGAAATGCATCCCCACTCTCCATTATTATGGTTTCACCACAGGTAGCAAGGAACATTGATCTAGTGTATGGTGGAGGAAGTGTGGGGCTCATGGGCCTGGTCTCTCAAGCTGTCTACAATGGAGGGAGGCATGTTATTGGGTATGTAAAAACGTAATAATTGTTGATCATTCTTCAGCACTGATACATGGAAAGAATAACTCCGTATATAGTACACTTTGTAAGATGTCATCTTGTCATGACAATAGACTTGGATTATGGTTCCTTTCCTCAGGTGCTACATGCTAGTACTAATATATAATTTGCCATTTTGTTGTCCCTATATACACGCAGGGTGATTCCCAAGACTCTTATGCCTAGAGAGGTAAGCACGCTCATCTCCCTTCCAACAAGTCCTGACATAGTTTATTCACATGCAACGATTCCCATGAGCTTGACATCATTGTTGCTGATCACCGGTTAAAATCTCATCATTTTCATTGGAAATGTCACTTGAAAAAAAATCTAGTTAATACTTATTGATCAAGCATGTTAAGTATTTTGTAAGCATGATAGTATCACTAGATGAGATTGCTTTTTAGAAAAAAGTCAGTAGCACTGATCTAAAATTATATCACTTATAGGTATTAGAAAAACATATATATATGGTATGTGGATACATACTACTACTGGAAAATTATGCTTGTTCATTATCTTTCTTGAATCTTGATAGTGGAAAGAAGAATGCGATCTTATCTGCTTACAAAAGATCGCATGGAACGTTCAAAGAAAATCTTGTTTTTCCTTTCCCTCGTAGATGAAATCCTGCTGATCTTGACTGCCGCTTCTAGTGGCTGCCCCTTTGTTCTTAAGGCCTTGATCCTTTAAGCAGATGCTGACTTTATTAATCAGAAAGAAATGTCCCTCACATTTTCTTTTTGTCCCCCAACAACAGCAACATGATTGCCTCTCCTGAACCTTTGCTGCGTTGCTCTGATTAAACTATACATGCTACCACTCCTGTTAAACAGTGCTCATCCCCTTGCTCGTTGGCTAGTTTTTGCATGCTCTCTTACTTTTTGTGGAGCAGAAAGCTGCAGGGTGCTCCTGTGTCTGTGCGAGAGGCTTTGTCACATACGCATGCGTGTTTGCTTGTGTGTGCAGATTACGGGTGAGACAGTAGGGGAGGTGAAAGCAGTGGCAGATATGCATCAGAGGAAGGCTGAGATGGCCAGGCAATCTGATGCGTTCATAGCACTGCCTGGTTAGTCTCTCTCACCACCTGGATATATTTTTTTTAAGATAATGAAACCACCTGAATATATAGCTTCATCAACTTGTGTTGAGTCGACATGTACTAATTTGCTTTACTTTTGTTGTCAATTGCCTTGTCATATTTTTTCCTTTATCATGTTATGATACGTGGCTAGTGGAAGTGTGAGTGGAAAGTTGCGTAAAAGCAAGCACAAGCAGGGTGCATGAGTTTGACTTTGACCTGCTAAATTGGCTTGCATGCATGCTGCTGCCGCCCAGTCGGTGCAGAATCCTTCTTTATACGCATGAGCTGGTCGATCAGATTGTCAGATACTCGGATAAGAGAGGACCTGTTGAGCCACTTCGTGCTGATATTTTCAGTATCGTTCGTAGCTTATCTTTTTCAGTTATTTGATTCTTTTTCCTAATCATCAGCCAACTGAATTTGTGATTCGCCCATCAGTCTTAAAAAAAAATTGTGATACGCCTTGTTAGCAAGGACCAAATTTGGCCCATCCCCGAGGATGGGCTGGGAATTTTAACTAGATTCAGGACCATCCTAGTGAAATGGGCTAGTATTTTTTCTGCCTTCTCAAATCAAACCTGACACAACTTCATACTACTATGGATTTATGAGGTTCAAACTCAGCCTAGAAATATTCTGAAGATAATGCAAACATCCGACAATTATACCCAGGCAGATGCTGTATCCGCAGATTCCCTCAATCAATACTCGTATTTCTGGAGGAGAGAGAGATCCAGAGCGAGCACTGTTCATTACTTAAATTTGTTTACTGCAGGTGGGTATGGAACACTTGAAGAGCTCCTGGAAGTAATTGCCTGGGCTCAGCTCGGCATTCACGACAAGCCGGTACATACTGAAATAGTTCATGATCAGCTTTTGCACATGCAACATATGTACACGCACTGATGAACAATGCACGTATATACACGGAGAGCCAAAACTTTTTTTTACCTTGGCTTAATGTGGACGATCGATGCTACGTACAGGTTGGCCTGCTAAATGTGGACGGCTACTACAACTCTCTGCTGTCGTTCATCGATAAAGCTGTGGAGGAAGAGTTCATCAGCCCCTCTGCGCGCCATATCATCGTGTTAGCTCCAACACCAAAAGAACTTCTCGAGAAGCTAGAGGTGTATATACTTATATATATAATCTATCGATTTTTCTGATGCATCATGGCACACTGCAAAGGACAGAAGAAAACGCCGGTTTCATCGGTGAATGAGAGATCGAGCTGAACTTTCCTCTTGCTCGCATGCAGGCGTACTCCCCTCGGCATGACAAGGTCGTGCCGAAGATGCAGTGGGAGATGGAGAAGATGAGCTACTGCAAGAGCTGCGAGATCCCTGGCCTGAAAGAAGGCAACAAGGCGACCATCCAAGCACAGCGAGGAAGCATGCTCTGAAATTTACTGTAGCACTAGCTAGCTATAGCTTAGCCAATGCGTGCAGCAAGAAGATTCAAAACTTCTTGGTGCACATGAACTGCAACTTTTAATTCATGTAACTCGGTTCATTAGAAGGCAATTGATCACTGATCATGCAATTAGTCGTGTACGTAGCCCTAAGAATGAAATCATCAGTAAGATTTGTAAATCACAGAGCTCCAGAGCAGCAGACTGACATAAAACGATATGTGGGCTAGATCGATCTCCTCCGTGGGCTGGGCCGGATTTAACATTGGGCCAGGTTCAGCAAAACATACCACAGTTCGACAGTTCGTGTGAACAAAGAAAAGAGCATGAACTATTCGTATGCATGTACTACGTACCAGATGAAGAATTTTTTTCGTTTTTAGATTTTTTTAATATTTACAGAAATAATCTATCGACCAAAAAAATTGCAGAAATAGTCCCTGCCGCCCTAATGGTGGGCGGCAAGCTGACGTGGCAGACGGTGGGTCGACCGCGCCGTCTGCCGCCGTCGGCCAAAATTGCAATTAGGCCCTTGCCGCCCATACAGAAGGCGGCAAGGGGCTAATTGCAATTTTGGCCGCCCATAAAGAGTTTGCGGCCGTACTTTTTCATCTGGGTCCCTTGCCGCCCCAATAGAGGGCGGCAAGGGACCCAGATGAAAAAAGTACGGCCAAAAGATTTTTCTATGTTATGTTAATAATAAATAAAGAAGTATTTATTGGTAAAACTTGTTAATATTGTTATAAAAATGTATTGAAGTTGGTTGTTGCGCAATTTCATATGTTAAGTGAGGTATTATTTTGTACCTTATTCGACGTATTAGTACTCGGATAATTTATATAGGCCTATCACAGTCTGGGCCGTAGAAACATTATATGGACTTAAACAAGGAGAATTATGTAACATGAAGAAATAGTAGTACAATTTGAACATGATACGACTATTTTCATTGCGGTTACATAGATGATATTAGATTCGAACTAGGAGGGAGGTAGTGCAATAGTTGAACACAACGACGATGTAGTAATGGGACAAGGAAGCATGATAGTAGAAATTTCAATAAGCCAAGTTGTCCGATAATAGCTAACTCCTACGTGAGGATCCCTCTCCTCTCTCAAACCGCGCTTTAGTAACCCTTTATTGCTCTGGTAGTTCAAGCTGCACAACACGGCTAGGTGGAGTTAGAACCCTTCTGGTGTATATCCATTCTCTGTATTGACATCTCCTTGGTGGTTCCTGGGAGGAAAGAATAGATGTAAAGCAAGCAAAGTTAGTAAATATTGTGAGAAAATAAGGATTCATGTAATCAAAATATTCTTACCATGAAATCGTCGTCAAGAATATTTGGACAAACAAAGAACCTTCGACCCAATGTTGTAGGATTTATGGAGCGAAGAACCTGACAACGATCACCACACCTGCATCTTGGACGGGCTTCCCATGGAGGGAGTGCCGTAGTTAGCACCCGCCAGTCGCTCTGTTGTTCACGACATTGTCGTTCATAAGCCGCTTTTCTCTGTAAGTATTGCTCAGTACTTTCGGATGCGAAATACCAGCGACCTTCTTGTAAACAAGTGGTTAGGTCGAGAACGGGATTTTCTGTATCGACCCACTCGATGTATGCGCAAGCCGTAGTGCGGGTCTGCCGAATAGAGTAGTGTTACGAAGAATAAAACGATTGCCCATACGGAATGAATAAGCATATGCAGATAATAAAATACCTCACGGTCATAGTTAGGGCACCTAAAAAAGCGCCTTCCTCGAATATCAGGATTCCTCGAAGCCATTAGTTGGCATCGATCACCGCATAGGCAGAGAGGACGCTGGCACCAAGGTGGTAGTAGGTATACACAAGGATCGCTATGCCAGTTTGGATCCTCAACACCCCGGCGTCTAGCCATTGACGAAAGCCGGTCGGATTTGTAATGAAGCAAGAGGGGAAGAGAGTACTGATTGTGACTGAGTTCTGAAAGATTGTGAGGCCTCACTCGTTAAGGAAACTTATATAGGCGCAAAAAATCGAGTGATACCCCTGACATGTGAACGTGGTGGGGTATGGTGGGTACGCCTGATTGGCGCCGAAAGATACATGCATGATCGGCGCCGAAAGTTACATTGGTCGTATGCGCCAAATGGCGGGCAAATACTCGTATCACACGCGAATAAAGGAGGCTGCATCGGTGCGGCAGAAAGTAGTCGTGCATGCGCCGAAAGGTATCGTGCATGCGCCGAAAGGTATCGTGCACATATAACAACAACGTAGTCATTACACAAGCATACAGTACTGGAAAGTGAAGCAAGTAAACAAAGAGAAGATTGCTCTACTGGCCCTGCCCCGCGCCGCGACCACGCTTGGTCCTCCGGGCCTGTGCTCGCACGTGGTCCTGGGAGTAGGTGAAACGATCCGGTGGCATAGCACGGGTAGCACGAGTGTCCCGCGGAGGAGTGGCCTGCGCCTGGTCCTGCGTCTGCACCGGCGGTGCGCCTCCCAGCTGTGAGGGGCCAATGACGTCCTCTGTCGAGCCTGAAGCGAAGTCGAAGTCAGTGATGTCAAAGAGCAAGGTGGAAGGCAGCAAGCGGTTCGACGAGGTCCTAGCATAGTCCAGTGGTGGACCCTGACTCGACGTGCCGGCTGCCTGTGACGAAGTCCCGGTGTACTGCCAGAACTGCGCTGAGTGCGAGGTCGACACAGCTACCTGAGACGCTGACCCTGCAGCCTGGGAGAAGTGGGCGGCCTGCGTCATAGCGAACTGGGCGAAACCTACACATCGACAAATGGGACCTTTGTAAGCTAAGACATAAAATGTATGTAAATTGATTGTCGAAGTAATGTTGTTTTTTTAAGTACCTGTGGGGGGCACAACAGAAGGCCTAGCCGAGGAAGGCGGGGTGCTGAACGGTGTACGAAACCCTGAAGCAATCGGCAAGTGAAACGGCTCACTTATATGTGCGAGGCATGTACAGAAATAGTAATAAAAATACTTACCTCCGTGTGGAGGGGGAGTCGGCCTAGGAACGTGCGCAGCTGGACGGGGACCAGTCGGTATGGTTGGCCGCTGTACAGCTGCGTCTGCTCGAGCAACGTCGTCTGCACGACAGGTGAGCACTCGGAGAATCGAGCGCATCGACTCCACCATCCGCGTGTACGTCGTCAGGTGCTCCTCTACGGGTACCGGAATCCCCGCGCCTAAACGTTGGATCGTCGTTGAACCGTCAACGACGACCCGGTTGATGTCGTCGACCTGCATGGTTAATTTATTCGTAAATATTCGTAAAATTTGACGAAGAGAAAGACATGAAAACATAAAGGAATGGTGCGATGCAGGGTACTCACAGCACGAGCGAAGTCCTGGTCGCGGTGCCTGGCATAGAGGTCTCTAGTGCTCGCAACGTGGGGCTGCTGCTCCAAGGGAGCGAAGGTGACCCTAGTACAGGTGCGTGGCTAGTACCAGCGTAGGTAGGCCTGGTACGACTCCTCAGTGTGTGGCTCTCCCTCGTGGTCCACGACCTCCTCGGTTGCGAGCAACCAGTCCTCAACAAAAGTCGCCAACTTGGCGGGCCAGTCGCCAGCTGAGTGCTGACCCTTGCGCGAGTACCTGCGAATTAATGTGTAATATTAGTGTGAAACGACAGATGTTACAAATTATTGTGAACAGGCATATTTTAATGCAACAACGGAAAGCGTAGTGCAAGATCTTACCGGTGAACAGCAGCTGGGATGGTGGTCGGAAACGGTACTGGAAAGGGCTGACGGAAGCCGAACTGCCGCATCACGCGGAAAGGGGCGTGAGGCTCAACGCAGATGTCGAAGACCATCGGAACCGTAGTCATCCAGTACACCTGGTCCCTGGTGCAGAGTGTGGACAGACCCAACGGCGCACGAGCCTGGGTAGCCGCTGCACTGTAGGGCTCCCACACGATGTCAGTCGGCAGAAGGCGGTCGAACTCCATAACAAACTCAGGATACGACCGCCTAACCTGGACGTGAGCCCATCGGCGCTGCAATACGAGACGATCGATGTGATGTACAATGAACTTAGCAATTAGCTTAACAATACGATAAGATCGATGCAACGTACCTGACGACGGCACCACAGAGTACCCATCGTAGGGTAATCGACCTCTGGTCGCTCCTCGTAGGTGTGCCCATGTAGGACAATGCTTGTAGGTGTGCCCATGTTCATCGCATTTGCTGCAACGCTTCACCCTGCCAGCCTCCGACTCGTCCATATCGTTGCGGATGCGACGAGTCCTCCTCCTTCCAGCCTTGCCTCGGAGCTTCGATGGGTCAGGAATATTGAGTACTTCATCGTTAGTCTCTGTGAACTCCCCAGCTATGCCGAACCCATAAATCTCGCCGCTCCATGTATGATATATTGCTTGCTTACTGAAGTACTGTGACACATATACTGCATCTGGTATGCCACACTCCGCTGCGGCAGCAATGACATGGGTGCATGGCCTGTGGAGCAGCTTCGGCTTTGCACAAGAGCAATGACATGTGCCGTCGGCTTTGAGAACACACTCCTGCTTCACTCTCTTGCGGTAGATACCCCTGCCTGCCTTATTTTGACATAGTATCTCAAACCTGTGCTGTTGGGTACCTTGCACTACAGCTCGATGTTTCATGGCCTTTTTACGCAACTCCTCTAGCTTTTTCTGCATGAAAGCTCCAAACAAAATGCTGTTGTTCAGCATAGAGGGAAGAACTGCCTGGAACCGATCCCTAAAATACCTGCATGTCCCATGTAAAATGAACTCCACTATGCCAACTAGTGGCAGTCCACGGACACCGCGCATCACCCAGTTGTAAACTTCTGCCAAATTTGTTGTCATAATTCCATATCTAGCACCACCTGTGTCATACGCCTTGGCCCATTTCTCTTTTGGTTCATGCAGAATCCACTGAGAAAATTTCCGAATCTCCAATCCAGTTTTTCTAACCAATGTTGGACTATCCGTTGGGAGAGGTCCAAGAGCTTGAGGAGGGTCAGCAACGGCGGTCGATGGAGCCGCTGCACGCTGATCACTGCATTTGGCTGTCAACTCATCTAATCTCTTCCAAAGCTCATTGAATTTTTTCTCCTGGTTCTGATTGCACAGCCTCTTGAACATGTTCATGAGCTCTTTGTTCTTGAATTGCTTGAAGAAATTAGCTCCCATATGACGCATGCACCACCTACT